TGATCATTAAAGCAGGGAGGGGCTGGAGAGACCACTAGCCCATTGGTTCCCAAACTTCTCAGCACCAATGTCTCCATTTAATGCCTCCTCCAGCAGGGATTCCATATTTGGGAGATATTAGAATAGCTGCCCTTATTGAGTATCTGCTTTTTTGGATTGTTCACTGGGCTAAGAATTTGCCCTTACTGTTTCATCTAATGCCAACGAAGCTGCTAAGAAGTAGGTATAATTATCTTTAATTTACATATGAGAAGGTTCAGACCTTCTAAAAGTGCATTGGTTTGAAATCTTACAACTAGAAAGTGGGAGAGTTAAAATCGAATCTAGGTCTTTGGGGCTTCGAGGCTCCACATGCTTCTGACACTTAAGAAGAAGTAGCTCAGACTCCCAGCAATTGTACTCCTAAGTAAATACTCAAGAAAAATGAAAACATAGGTTCACAAAAACCACACACATAAATGTTTATAGCAATATTATTCATAATAGTTAAAAGATAGAAATGACTCAAATGCCCATCAACTGAAGAACAGATAAACAATGTGTGGAATATCCATACAATGGAATATTATTTGGCCATAAAAAAGAATGAAGCACAAATATATGCTACGACATGGATGAAGCTTGAAAACATTTTACTAAGTGAAAGAAGCCACTCACAGAAGAACACACAATATGTGATTTGCTTTACATGAAATGTCTAGAATTAGCAAATATATAGACACAGAAAGGAGATTAGTGATTACTCAGGGCTGGTCATAGGGGCGGGGATAAGGTGGTGGTCTCTAAATGGTACAGAATTTCTTTTTGAGGTGATAAAAATATTCTAGAGTTAACTGTGGTGATAGTCACACATATATGTGAATATACTAAAAACCACTGAGTTGTATACTTTAAACGGGTAAATTGTGGTATGAGGATTATATCTCAATGAAGCTATTTAAAAAGGAATAGCTCATGTTGTGACTGACAAGGTATCATGGTTGTTTCCCGTGAAGGTTGAGCAGCAGAAGCTGCATGGTGCAGTGGAATCAGCATCTTTGGACGATTCATTTAGCTTCTTGGAGCCTTAGCTCCTCCTCAGAGAACTGGGGTTAACAAGCCCATCTCATCATGTTGTGATAGTGAATGGGAAAGCCCCCAGGCCCTCCAGTTCTAAAACTCCCTGATTTTGAAGTTTGAGGCTTGAATGAAGAGGTAAAAGTAGACAGAGAGGTTTCTCTTACTTTGAAGTCACACCTACAGAGATCCTTCTCTCCTGTGTGTATCAAAGGCTGGTCAGCCAGAGGACTGGAAGGAGAGCTTGGCAACTGGCTGCCCTCTGAGAGACCCCAAATAAGAGAGACTAGGTAGAAGTTAGAAAACAAGGGGGTAGAGGTGGGGTGGAGGTTGTATGAACTCTAGGGACAACCCTGTTTTGTTTTGTTTATTCATGTTTTGGTATCTTTAGGTTCCACTACCCTTGAAAACCGGTGGGATCTAGAACCAGGAGACAGGTTTATAAGAGAGCTAAGAAAGGCCAGGCTCCCATAAATAGGTGGCTGTTTTTCAAGGCATTAGGGTGGACTGGATATATTTCTTCCCAACAATGAAGGATCTGCCCAAAATGCGGAGATTCTTTTCTGAAAACAACTCGGGGATAGAAAGAGGTATAAAAAAGCTTTAAAAAATCCACAAAAACAAAAAATAAAAAACAAACAACTTGGTAACAGAGGTACTTAAGTACTAATATTCTAACCATGGTGGTGAAGTACCATTGACCTTCATTATTCACAGATTCTATATTTGTGAATTTGCCCCTGCACTAAAATTTGTCATCCCAAAATCACTACTCATGGTACTTTCAAGGTCATTCACACACATGAGCAGAACAATGAAAAATTTGCATGTCCCCATCTGAGGATGAACAAATGCTCTGCCTTCTTCTGGTTTCAGCTCTCATACTATAAACAAATATCTTCTTCTGCTGCCTATTTAGTGCTTTGTTTTTTTTTTTGCATTGTTTTTCTTTCGGTTGATGATTTTGCTTTGTAAAACAACTGCCAATGTAGTGCTGAAGTGCTGTCTAGGGTTCCTAAGCACAAGAAGGCTGCGATGTGCCTGACAGAGAAAATATGAGTTGGATCATCTTCATTCCAACCTCAGTTGATTGTAAGTTCGCTGTGAATGAATGAATATATATTAAGATGTCTTTAAACGGAAGATGTTAAAAAAGGTTATGTAAAGATTGGTTGACGAAAACATGACCAGAGGCTCACAGGCACCCAACCCTTTATTTCCCCTAGGAATAATAGTTCAGCATTCACTATTAAATGTTAACAGTCTTTGTAGAATATAACTACGTGAATAATGAGAATTGGCTGTACATGCCATGTATTGTTTGTACATTATCTTAATGCCCACAAAGTGTTATCTTTGTTTTACAGATAAGGAAATCGAGATTGTACATATTAGATCACGGGACTTGGAGCTAACATATGGAAGTGGCAGGATTTGAATTCATTTCTAATTCTCCAGAGGGGAAGGAAATTTTCTAGCCCTTGAACTGGAATGTGAGTTCTTAGGAAAGGTTGGTAAGGTGCATATCGGGGCTGGTGGGAGGACACAGGAAAGCTGAGCCTAGTCAAAAACGGTACATTTCTGAGAAAGGAGGGTGAGAGAATTGAACACAATCCTCCAGATGTAGTCTGCACTGGACAAACTATAGCTAACACCAGGGGAAAAGATAACCTGCAATCGGCACAGAATAGAGGCACCAGGATAGTGGAGTCTGGGAGCCAATCACACCAAGAGAGAAACAATGGGAGGAACCAGAGTTGTTCACCCTGGAAATGAGAGTGTGGAGGCAAACAGGAGAGATCTCTAAATTCTTAATGGGCTATCTCGGGAATGAAGAATTAGATGGAAAGCAAATCTAGGATTGTAGGTTGAGAATTATAGACAGCAAATTTTGACTCAACGTAAGGTACATTTTCTGAAATTCAAAGCTCTCCAACAAGTCAAGATTGAGGACTGGTGGTCCACAGGCCAAATCCAGCTGCAGACACATTTTGTTGGCTCACAAGTGTTTTTTCAAAAATCGTATTTAAATGTTCTTCCTTTGGGCATGCGTCTCGTTTCCACAGCCTGTACCACTCCCTGTGCTTTCAGACCCATATCACTCCTTTGCTTTGCCCTTAAAGTGTAGGATTGACAGATTTAACAAATAAAAATATAGGATGCAGTTAAATTTGTATTTCAGACAAATAATTTTTAGTATAAGTATATCCCATTCAATACTTGGGATATACTTATACTGTATTTATATTTATATTCGACTACTTGGGATTTACTAATATTGTCCTGTATTTGTTCGGCAACCCTAGCCTGGAGGCTTCTTTCTTTGCCGCCCCCACCCCCCTTCGGTAAAGAATAAATGATAACTGGTCATAGACCTTTTTCACTCATCCCCCACCCTCCTCCCCTCTGGCAACCATCAGCTGTTCTCTGTATCTGTGGATCTATTTCTGTTTTGTTTATTCATGTTTTGTTTTTTTTTTAGATTCCACTACCCTGGAGACTTTAAATGGGAGCCCCTGATGTTGCATTTTGAGGAAGTGGGCTCTGTATTTGGGAACTATTCAGAGACTTGTCTCAGGAATGCTCAGAATGGAAGCAGGACTAAAACGGTCTAAGTATGCCCTTGCCCTAGTTTCTTCAGACTGCCCCTCCTGTTTTATAGTGACAAAATAATAAAAAGTAGAGGGAGATAATTCTAAATTACAACCCAGGTGCTATTCTGGGTGTACCTGACGGGTGGGATGCTGGATTCTTGTTTTAACAGCAGAATGTTCTACTAGAACTGGAATTGATAAAGACATAAAGTGTTTTTGAATTCTAATATCAATTGCTAGCAAAAATTCTTTAAGTGCAAGTTGATTGATGTGTCTATAGCTTGGGAGAATGGTGGTAATCTCCTTCTGGATCAGTGCATGAAACAAGAGGCATAAAACATCCCAAAATAATAATTGTTTTATGTCGAAAACCATCTTCTGCTTCTCTGAGATTGTGGTTAGTCATCCTGACACTTGTTTTCCTATCTTGCTTCCAGAACTGCTTTTCTGGTTGTTTTGAACAGACTGTGACCAACTCACCAAGGACTGGAACATGGCAGCAGTTAATATGACAGGAGAGAATTGTGCTAACTCTGTTACCACAGACTCAGTGTCCTCAGTGGGAAAGAAGAGGCAGGATCTCTAAGATCATTCCCAGAAATTGTGCGTCTAAAAATAGGTGTCAGTAGTCTTTGGGCAACAGTTCGTCTTTCAGCATCCTCCTCTGGCCTCCGAAGAATTAGAACGTTTATGTTTGATGGGACTTGAGTGAGCATTTCGTTCACCCTCATTTTCAATGTAAGGAAAGTTGGCTGCATGGTAGGTTGACAAGGTCAGAGCTCTTTTCAGCCCTGCAAGTGGGTTCCCATTCCTCCTCCTCAGTTCATCATATCTCCCTCCATAGAAAAACTAGACTTAAGGGTTGAAAAGTAACTGACACAGGAGTTTCTAGATCTTAAAAACGGGACTTCAGAGGACTTATGACTCTATTTTCAAGTTAATATTTTCACTGGCCATTCTTGATAGGTATTCTGTTTCCTCAATAAGGGGACTCTGTCCTTTCCACCTTTTAAATTTTTCAGGGTCTTATATTTACATTATGCACACAGAACCTCAGCCAATATGTGTTGGATGAATGAGTTGGAAATAAAAAGAACAAAAGCTTTGGAAACAAATATCTTGGACCAAATCCTGGTCCTTTCATTCACCAGCTGGTGAACTTGGGCAAGTTTTTTATTTCTCTAAACCTCGGTTTCCTTATTTGCAAAATGCAGATAAAACCACCTCTCTTATAAGATTGTTGTGGAGAGAAAATTAGATAATGAAAGCACTCAGTAAATGGCAGCTATTATTATTATACCTGTTGCATTAACACAAAACTTAAGCAACAAGAACCACTACATGACAATATGATTTTCTAACCTTTTAATGAAGTCCCATTTTGTTTGACACAAAGCTATAGGCTGGTAGTCTGAAAGCTGAGCTGCTTTGTGTAACTTCCCACTGTGGCGGGCATTATTTTACTAGTCCCTAAAAGTATTTAAGGAGAGGCATTACAGTCAACAGTGGAATGCATGCCAATTGTTTTATTTATGATGCCTATTTGGGTGACAAAGCCAGCCAGCATTTAGCCCCCAGTTAGAAGCTTATGGCCCCTCCCATGTCATTACTCCACAACACGGCGGAAAGACTGGATAGCTGGGGAAGCTGCACCCCATTCCATGGGCTTCCGGTACTCCTTCTTGTCCAGGAGGTACTGCCTGCCACGGTAGTTGGGTAGCTCGTAGAAAATCCAGGCACCCTCCAGCACCTTACAGGAGTGGACCTCTCGCATGTGAAATTGCTCCATTATGGAAGGACAATCTTCAGAGGTTTCATACATCTGACCATTAAAATCCCCTTTCTCAAAGATCTGAATCTTATACTGGCCTCCGCTAGACTGAAAAAACAGGAGGAAATGAACAGCAACCATTATGGAAAGCACCAGCAGGTCAGAAATTCAGACAACAGTATAGTTCAGAAGCTACCCTCTTGAAAGCTAGATGCTCTGAACTCCCATCCCCACCGCGCACTGACTGAAACAGCTGACTTTCAATAAGAAAACCTTAACTCCTTAAAATCCTCAAGAGTTAGAGAAAGCGCTATGAAAAGTGTATTGTCTTGGGATGAACTGACCTAAGGTTTAAGTCTCTGCAGCCAACAAAAGACAGCCTCCCCACCACTCCCATTAAGAGGTAGGAAAATAACAGGAAAAACCCTTTTGCAGAAAAGCAAAAAAAACAAAACAAAACAAATTGTGTGGGGAGGGTGAGGGAGGGAGTGATATATATACACATATACACCAGAGCCACAAGACTCACCAGATGAACAGCTCTGCAGGAGCTGAGGCGGTCGTTGAGGCCCATCCAATGCTGGTATTCGGGGTACTCGCCCCGAGGTAAGATGTACATGTACCCAGCAAAATTGGGCCTCTCATACACAGCCCAGGTACCTCCTTCCACCCTAATGGAGTTACAGCGATTCAGGTACATGTGGAAATCTGCACAGTCGCAATCACAGTCATAGTGGCGGCCTTGAAAATTTTTGTCTTCATAGAAAGTAATCTGAAGTACAGGGCAAACAAAGAGAACTGAGGAGTTGGATGGCTTTATTCACAGACAAAATAAAAATCAAGACTATATTCCCCACTTCAGAAATTCCTTTCTCCTCAATTTTGAGGAGAAAAGATAAGTTCTATCTCGCCTTACAACATGTGCTTTCTGGCAGACATTAGTTGTGGACAATAAGAATGAGTACTTTCTGAAGACTTAAAATGAAGAAAAACAAAAGTGCTCTAATATAAACTGGCAGTTTCAGACTCAAAGTCATTGCTTCCTCTTTTTTGTCCCCACAGCTCAAGGTACCTACCATATTATAGAATGATCTACTAACATGTCTGTGTCTCCCTCCAGATTCCACCTAAACTTCTTCCAAGGGTGAAGACCAAGCCTATTTAAGCTATGGACACGTGCCCAGCACTTGACAGACCTTCAATAAATGTTTGATGAAGATGAATGAATTCGAATGCAGAAATTCATTCAAGATGATTTAAAATATAGAGGAAAATAAAACATAGGCCTTAGTTTCAGAGTTTATTTTACATGGATATAGAGGAGGGGTTCCCAAGCCCCAGGCCGCAGACTGGTACCGGTCCGTGGCCTGTTAAGAACTGGGTTGCACAGCAAGAGGTGAGTGGCAGGCAAGCAAGCGAAGCTTTATCTCTATTTGCAGCCACTCCCCAGCGTTAGCATCAGCGCTTCAGCTCCACCTCAGACCATCGGTCCCTGGTGCCAAAAAGGTTAGGGATTGCTGATATAGGGCATACACACATGAAAATATATCGTTATGTTCTGTGTTATTTTATTGGTAAGAGGATAGTTACAAAATAACAAAATGACAAGGCAAAAATGCTCTTTATGAAAACTCTTACCAAGTTTTTACCATAATGCCTGAGATAAACCTCTGAGACCCATGATGGCTCTGGGAAAATATGCAGCCCCAAGAAAGGGGAAATAATAAACCTGGGGTCCAGAGCTGTATCTCCACAATCAGCCCTACTACCTTAGTCAAGCCATCTCTCTGGGCTCCAATTTCCCATTTGTCAAATGAAAGGACTAAACATGGGAAGCCCTGGCTGTAAAATAAAACCCAGAGCTCTTCTGATTGAAACAGAGAAAGAGTTCCCAGAAACTACTAGGGCTTCATAAAACAGTGCCTGGAAATAAATAGACCAAATGGACTACAGAATTTGTCCCTTCTTGTTCTATAATTCCATAATCCAAGATCAAAACTAGGTTATAATTTAAAATGAAATCACGTATGTCATTGATTTGAGCAGTCAATTCCCTGGCATTATGCTGCCACCTTGTGGCTAATTTGCTTTATTGGTTTAAAAAGAAAACCATGTCAGCCGAATCAGATGAGAGGAGCAGAGCCAAGTAAAGTCTAGAGAGGATATGATGTGAGGCTTGAAGGATAAGCAGAGGTTTTCCAGAGGCAAACTAAAAATAACAGCCTGTTCAAAGGAATAAAGGAGTGAAAGTCATGACCTATTATAGGGACAAGTGGTTCATTAACACTGGTGCATATCGAACATTTGTGAGGTATAAGGAAATAAGGCCAGAAAAATGACACAGGAGCCAGGCTAGAATCCTTTGGTGATTATGTGGGAGATGTGCCTGGAAATAGATTTTCACCATGGGTGAGGTGAGAGATGACGGCCAACTGAAAGGCAAGTGCAATGTGAATGATGATGAGGAAACAGTCAAAATAAATTTAGAATTTGGTTGACTAATTAGATATAGGGAATAAAGGAGGAAGAAACAAAGAATGATTTGCATATGGGCATAAAACCTCGTTCTCTTCCACCTCAGATGATTCTTTCCAGATAGTAACCTACTAACATTTATTTCCTTCTATCTTTATCTTCCCCCACCATCCTTCCCATTTCTCTCAACTCTATTTCCTATTCCCTAAAAGCTTCCTTACCCCTTCTCACCTCTAACTCATCTACTTCATCTCCTTTCTTCCATTCCCAAATTTATCTCTTCCAGCTCCTTTTCTCATTTTAGCACATATTTAGAGATACATGATACCCCAGTTAACAGATGAAGAAAACAAAACCACAGCACCACTAGTCACTGGCTCTGTGACCTTGGAAAGACCACTGAATCTCTTTAAAGCTCAGTCTCTTACAAAACTGGATAACAATATCTCCTGCAGAGGGTTGTTCCAAGGGTCTGAAGGAACAGTGTTGATAAAACACTTAGTTTAATACCTGGCTCAAATTTTCCAATAAGCTTTTGCTATAGTTGTTACAGAAAAAGAAATTAAATGATTTGCTGATGTCACTAGCTAGTTACACGTTAGGGGCAGGCAAGCGAGTGGACTGCAGTGCAAATCCTGGTTAGTAATCTGTGGTTCATTTTATTTTACTTTATCTCCTCCTTTGCTGTCTTCCTACCTGCTGTTAGCTCTGTTCGACATAACATTTACTCTCTTAGAAACAGAACAAGACTGATCCTGAGTCTGAAAGGGCTTTTCCCAAGACTTGTGGAAAGATCTTTTTAAAAATCAAGGTAACTTCTCTAAGAATAGATAGATCCAAAGTCCTTAATTCAATTTACCGTTGGTTTTTGGCCAACTATTCACCAAAACAGAGGCTTTGTCAAGGATATGCTATGGGAAATTAATATCATCTCTTTTTCCTTGTTTTTCACACTTACTGCCCTTGCACATTTGCCTGACCGACATCAATCTGAGAAGTGGAAACATATACGATGTTTTACAAGGTCATCTTGCTGTCCATCCTCCCAGCAGAGCAGCCAACCATCCCCAGATTGAAACAAAGCACTAATGTTGCCATGGAACCATTACTGAGCTTCAGGACCAAGCTCTCCTTTCAGCAGAACTTCCAAACCCCAGGGCCCAGAGAATGCTGCACCTCTACTCAGTTTCCATTTATAGAAGGACCATGAAATCCACTCTATGGTCAGAGGAGAGAAGGTTTTGACTCTTGGGCAAAAAATTTTGTGCAGAAAGCTAAGAAATGTGCAGAAGATTTTCCTAGAAATTATTTCAAAATTCCCCTCGTTTTCAAGTTTATTTTTTGAAAAATAGCCTACTAATCCAATGTAGCAGAAAGAAAAATGTCTTTAGTATTTCAGAAGTAACAAAAACAAACTAATGCATCCCTTTTGATTAAATTACAATCAAGTAGTGGGAAAGGGAGAAGCAGTAACAGAAAAAGTTGAGATACTATTTTCTTTGGTTTAACGAACAAAAGTTATTTAACTAAGTGAAGAGCCCAGCGATAAGAAATAAAAGAGAGCACACCATTATCACTCTGGAAATCTGTGAAAGTGGGGATGTCTTCCTATAAGATGGTTCTGTAACAGTCTGTCCTCGAGGGAAGTGGTTATCCCTCTAAGGACTTCAAGAACTTTTTAGTGGGATTTGCACGGCGTGTTTTCAAGAACCTGAGAGCACTAAAGACACTGTCTCATTTCTCTCCCCAGATCTTATGAATAACAAGTACAATTACTAGTTCTAACTAATTCTGGACAAGTTAACAGGTGCCCCTGAAAGAATGCAATGGGACGTACTTGACATTGTCTGTGTAGCTTTCATACCAAAGATGGTTAGTCTGAATCTAAATATGAGGAAACAATCAAACAAATCAGATTTCAGGACTTTCTACAGGATACCTGGTCTGGACTTTGAAAAATATCAATGTCTCAGAAAACAATGAGAACACAAAAAGGTAGGGGTACTGTTCTATACAAAAGAGGCTTAAAAAAAAAAAAAACAGGCTAAAGAAACATGACAGCCAAATACAACGTGTGACCCTTAATTGGATCCTACACCAGGGGAAAAGCCAGCCGTGAAGCGCATTTTTGGGAGCAACTGGGGGATATTTGAATATAGTGTGAATATCATGTATTGTATTTATGATAAATTTGGAGGACATGATATGTTTATACTGGGGAATGCCGTTGTAATTAGGAGATAGATACATGCTTAAATACTTAAGGCGAAAGTATTAAGTCTGTTATTCATTCTCAAATGGTTTAGTAAAGAGAGACAGAAAGAGATCGAATAGGGCAAAATGTTAACAACTGGAGAATATAAGTGAAAGATATACAAGTATTCATTCAACATTTTTTTCTTGTTCTTATTCACCAGTTTTGATTTAATGTACAGGGAATAAAGTCAGTAATATTGTGATAGCGTTGTACAGTATCAGGTTGTTGCTGGACTTATCATGGTGATCACTTCTTTAGGTATATAAATGTTGAATAACTATGGTGTACACCTGAAGCTAATATAATATTGTATGAATTAAATATGTTAGCAGCAATATTCCTAACTTAATAAGTACTTTATTTGGAGATAGGGGTAAGAGTAACTGCTTGAATGAAGGGGATTGCAGGATTTAATGCATTTGATAGGTCCATCTACCTTGCCCTTTGAGGATATTAACAGTTGAGACTAAATTTCACAAAACAAATTTTTAATTGAATACTAAAAGTTTTCTACTCCACATAATCCACTTATTAGCACGTCCTATTCCTTTCGAAGTTCATAGAATATTAGTTGCTGGAAGACAGAAATCATGATATTTATATATGACATACCTGTACAGTATTCAACATAGCACCACACAGAAAGATAATCCCTTAATAAACTGTTTGGTAATTCTGTTAGAGTAGAAAATATAATCAGCATTTCTTAAATCTTCTCTCCCAATCCCAACCTTCTAACCACTATCATACTCACCCTCCAGGCAAAGAAGCAAAACTTTTCCCCATGTTTCTTTCAATGTATCATCAGGTAAAAAGAAAGTCGGTAGGGTAAAAATCAACATGACTATTTACTTACCTTGGTTCCAGTTTTAGACATTTTTGGTGCATAGATCGGTTTCCCCAATGCTGAAATCCAGGAATAGCTACAGAGTTAGAGGCACAGAGACATTTATACTGGGCTGGTTTCAAATCAAACATTTGCTTAGTCATGAGAATAGGATCCAAAAATTGAGTCAGTCATTTAGAGTCTATTGACGGTTTCTAGAAAAACAACTGGGATTATGAAATAAAGGAAAGCTTCGGTACCCAATTTAATGCTTACCAAGCCTTGCTGCATTATAGACTTTGCTGAGTCAAGACACCAAAACTCAGCTAAAGTTTTCAAAATTAAAAATACAAAGGCCCTCTTACCTGGGCAATTTGGTTTTCAAGCCATCAGCTACCCTGAAATTCCTAATGTCTTTTTGTCCTTCAACAAAGCTTGCAAGAGATGAGTCAAAAAGATAGCCTCTATTTCTGAACAGAAGTGACATCTTCCAAAGCAACATAACTTACATAACTAAAGCTAATGCATGATCTTGTATTTGAAAAAAGTCACTACAAAAGACATTTTAGAGACAATCTGCAAAAATTTTAATGTAAACTGGATGTTAGGTAATACTATTGAATGTTATACTTCCTAAATTTAATCATTATACTATGTCTAGTAGGTAAGAGAACATCTTTGTTTTTAGGAAATACATGCTAATGTACTTAGGAGTAAAGGTCCAAGATGTCTGCAACCTACTCTCAAATCACTGAGCAAAAATAAGTAATATTACTATAGAGAGAATGGTAAAGTGAATGTTGCAAAACGTTAACATTTGGTACATCTAGACAAAGGGGTATGTAGAAATTCAGATTCTTACAACTGTTCTTTAAGTTAGAAATTTTTTCAAAATACAACTAAAAAAGTTCTAATCCACAGGAAAGGGTGCTACACATTGTAGCCTAAGAGACAGAAAGCTACTATGGGGACTCCTGAATTTGCAAAGGTTTAGCTAAGGCCACCTTGCCACCTGCTAGGGGGCATTTCTCTGCCATACTATCATACTGGGACATGTTTAGAGAACATTTTAGCACTTAATATACCTATGACTTTATAAACGAGATTACATTTTACATATGCTAAAAAAAAAAAGCAACAAATCCACTCTTCTCCATTTAAATTTTCCTGGTCCAGTATATTTTTCTCAAAAGTCCAACTTCCTCATTTTTCCACTAACAAAGCTAACCAACAAATATTTTTATAAGTTAGATGCCCCTAAGATACATTACAGTCAATTCAGAAAATGGCTAATGTGCCTTGATATGAAGATTATTGAGAAACAAAGTATTAAATATGTGCCTAGTTTTTTGAATTTTATAACCTTTAAAGAAATTATCTAATTAATACCATTAATTTCATTAACAAATAGCAATTTACAAAACACACTTGTTACTCCAGTGTTTATTTGATAATGCTTGCTTGAATTTCATCTTCAAATAAAAACTATGAAAACCTCAGCCAGAACTAACACATTCTGAGGGTTAATTTTTATTTTAGAAATAAAAGATCAAGCCCCTTTTTTGATATAATTACTAAGCACTTGAAACCATGTTTATCAGCAATCAGGTTCATTCTGTTAATGTGCTAATTGTTTTTCTTTATCTAAAGAACATACTTTCCCAATCAAATGTAAACTTTATTTTGATATAAAGTCACAGAATAACATTGGAGCCTTTTCTAAGTTAAAAGTAAAGCTTTATCTTTTTATCTAAAAGAGAAGATTACTTTTTAGAACTTGTTTATTGAAAATCTGAATTAGAAAATGCAAAATAAAGATTTTATAGTTTCATTAACCTTCATAGTTTAAGGACTAAAATATCTTCATATAAAACTATCTTTGCTATATTTATAAACCAACAAATTATACTTTCTTTCCAATTATTTTTTAAAAGGAGCAATTTCCTTTTAGTTACAAAGAACTATAAAACTCTTAACTAGAAAGGATGAAACCCTTTCATCATATAAATCAAAATGTGTTTGCTAGCAAATCTATCTGCAATCACTTTAATATTAATATATACACGATGGAACTGCCTTCATCTACTTTTTCATTCTGGTATCACGAAGATGAGTTTTCTGATGTTCTATAAACAATATGTTTATAACATAGTTAGAAGTTTACCTAAAATTCAACCTAAATGGTAATAAATGAGTATGGAATGGAAATCAAGCAAAGGTCTTAAATAGGAAGAAAAAGCCCCAAAGTCTCTTAAGCAGCCAGGGCACCTTCTCAATTTAATTTCAAGATGTGCACCATCTTCCATTCATCCTCATGTCTCCAGGGCCCTGAAGATAACAAAACAAAACAAAATTAAAATTAATTGTCTATTGCCTTTATGCAAACAATTAGAAAAAAAATTTTGCATTAAAAAAAAAATCACATAAATTATTAAGGTCAGATGATAGTTTAGAATAATAAAATACATTAAGTTTAAAGTTAATTATATTCCTTTTTTTCTAAGGATCACATTAGTTTATAAGAAAAGAAAAGAAACTCATACATAAACAAAAAATTGGTCTCGGAAGCTAAGCAGGGTCGGGCCTGGTTAGTATTTGGATGGGAGATCACCTAGGAAGACCAGGTGCTACAGGTATAAAAAATAAGAAATTGTAAGCAGACAAGGTCCTTGCAATCTGTGAAGTCAACCAAGTGTTGTCTCGCCAAAAAAAAAAAAGGCAAGCAATGGAGACTAGTTTAATCTAAAATTTTACCGTTATAGTTCCCATTTCCTTATAATATTTATCAGATTTCTAATTCTTAATCTCAGTATTAACTAAATATTATAAAATTCTTTTTTTTATTAAAAGAAATTCACATTTTAAAAATGTGAACAATATATAAAGTAACAATAAAGAATAAGATTTTGCAGCTTTGGAAAACAGTTCACCAGTTAGTCAAAAAGTTAAACGTAACTTTCTACTCCTTGGTATATACCTAAGAGAAATGAAAACATGTCCACACAATTTGTACACAAAAGTACATAGCCGTACTAGTCACAGTGGCTCAAATGTCCATCAACTGACGAACAGATAAACAAAGTGTGTTATATCAGTACAATGGAATATTGTGCAGCCACAAAGGAATGACATACCAACATATGCTATAGCATGGATGAAACCTGAAAACGTTATGCTAAGTGAAAGAAGTCAGACACAAAGGCCACATGTTGTATGATTCCATCTATATAAAATCTCTAGAGTTGACAAATCAAGAGACAAAAAGTAGATTAGTGGTTGCCAGAGACTGGAGGAAAGAGGAGATATTGGAAGTTGCAGGAATGGGGAGGGACTGCCTCCGTGTACAAGGTTTATTTTTAGGGTCATAAAAACGTTCTGGATTTGTTCATGGTGATGGTTGCACAAACTTGTGAATATAATAAAAGCCACTGAATTCTTCGCTTTAAAAAGATGAATTTTATGGCATGCGAATTCTATCTCAATTAAAATTAAGAATAAGTTTTCTCCCACCCTATATACCTAATCTCATTTTTTGAAGACAAACATTATTAACAATTTCTTTACATCCTTTCAGAAAAATTTAGGGCATATAATTAGCATGTAAATACATGTGATAATCACTCTCCTTTTTCAAACACAAAGGAACATTTTACTCACACCCAATTCCTCCCACCCCCTGGCTCAGTGATCACTCATTCTTTTTTAAAGATGCATTCCATGACACGGATGTATGAGTTCATTAAGCGCCAGCCCAATACTGAGAAGCATTTGGGTTGTTTCCAGTCTATAGCTATTTCAAACAATGCTGCAATGAACATATTTCTTACATATATTTGTACATATATGTATATATAAGAAATGAAATTGCTAAGCTAAAGAATATGTATATTTTTAATTCTGATTTTGTCAAGCTATCCTCCAGAGAAGTTACACAAATTAATACTTTCCCCAGTGGTAAGTAAAATATCTTGCCAGTGTTGTATACCACCAGATTTTGATCCTTGCAAATCTGATAGATAAAAATAGTATTCTACATTTCTTTAATTTTAAGTGAAAGTGAGTATCTTTGTGTTTTTAAGTATTTTTCTACCTATTTATGTCCTTTGTCTGTTTTCCTATTGTCAGTCTTTAGAAATACTTTAAAATGGCAAAGTAAACTAATTTCTATTAAAAAACGTTATATATTTGGATTAAACAATTTCTACTAAATTTGTCTATATACATGTTCTCATCTGTTGAAGCTGTGAGTGCCTGGAGTTCAGTATTCCAATCTTCATCTGGATTAATTCTGATAATTTATTAATGCTTATATGAGTAGGGAACAAAGATCAGCTGATTTACTAACTGGTTTATGTGTGGGTGATGGGAAACAGAAAGATGTGTTAGAAAGGGGGAATAAAACTTAAAGTTATGTATGGGGAAAGTAGTATCTTTGAACAATATAATTTGTGCCAGGCAAAAAGCAAAAAAGATTAAACGTGGTCATTATGTTTGCCCATAATTCTATAGGCTCCACCTGAATATTCTGGCCGATCTCCTCACTACAAAAGGTCTGTACGTGCAGGTGTGAGCAGAGGGAAAAATTCAGCAATGATTGGTAACATAACATTCTGTGTAGTTTTTTTGTATGCTTACAAGATTTTTTCAAAATAATTTTTTTTAAGTGGTCTGCATTATAAATGCCTACCAGTGTTTTGATGTAGGAGTCTCATCCTGCTGCTTGTTTGGAACCTGCTGCAGGGGGCACAAGGCTATCCAGCTGTTGGCGATGTCCTGTATTAATCAACCACTCATAAAATTTATTCTCCACAAGTACCTGGAACTGCTTCCTTTGATCTCTAAAATCACAATTGAGAGCAAAAAGAATGTTGAACACAAATTCATATCAATTTTACTCCAAGTGATTATAAAAGACCTTATAGGATCCTAGCTATTCATTTGTTCTCTCCAAATAACTGTTCTGTTCAGTTCTGTACATTAGACCACCACCCAGAAAAATAAATTTGGTCAGATACAATACCCTCTTTGTAAAGACTTATTAGTAATTACCAATTTGTTCTACTGTGGTTATTCACTCAACAGATATTGACTGAGGACCAAGTGACGCTGGGTAGTGTTCTGACTAGGTGTGAATCCCAGCTCCTATGTGACTTTAGATAAATTACTTAATCTTTCTCTCTTCCTGTAATAGGATATTGTTATAAAAAATAAATGAGTGCTTAACATAGTACTTGGCACATAATAAGTGCTCAATACATATTGTCTGTTATTATGGTCATCATCATTATTCTATGATACGATAAACTGAGAATGACTGGTCTGTAAATATTAATGTCTTGGAGGCTCAATTCATGAGATACAAACCAGGCGGAATGTTTATAAAAGATAACAGCAGCATATCGCAAAGAATTCCCAGTTAAAGCATGAGTTATAACTGTTTTTGATCTTTATATTTTTTGACAGGTAGCCACTGTTTTAAAGAGTCTAAATGTATTATATATTTCATTCCTTAATCCATATGATGAGAACGAAACCACAAAAATGCTTCCAGAAAATACCAGGCTGGACCAAGTCTTTTTTCAATTACTGTTTCTCTTAGAATAAACTTAATTCTAACAGATCAGGTCTCAGATATTCTTTGTAAACCATCTCACCCAGAAAATGTGTCTCACACACATCACTAAACTGAGTATCTCACACTCATATTACTAAACACAGTACAGCACATACCACTACACATAGTGTCTCATGCACACACATTTACTATAAGTTATCTTATTAAACCTTCACATCAATCTCATCAGGTACAAAAATATATTTTATATATGATACAATTAAGAGCTAGAGAGGTTAAATGATAGACTCACGTCAACAGTAAAATGGTATGGTCAGTACTAATTCCTGAGTCTGAGTACTTTCCAGTACAATCTAGACACAGCTATCCAATTGATTTCCAGGATACCTAAAGTCTACTTCTGCTTCCACACCTGCTCCTCTAATACTGTTAAAACTATTCTGCTCAGTCCTCATTTCCCATCCAAATTCAGCTTATTCTTCAAAGTGCAACGTAAATTTCTTCCAGAAATCTTTCCTGACTACCTACATTGATGTTTTCTGAATTTCTATAAACCAGATAGTGTGTCCCTAGCTTCTAGAGACCAAAGACCAATACCCTTGAAATAAAATTTTGTGGTAGACATAAACCGCAACCATCTACTATCACAAGCATGTTATTAAAAATAAGATATTTTAGTACCCAGAAGTAGGAAGGAAATAATCTCAGAATAAAAACCAGTATTTTAAATGGACTAAGCTTAGTTTTATTTTAAAATGCTGTATAAATTAGGGAAACATGGATTATGGAAAACTTTAACAAAAACTGGCATTAGTTCATGGACTAGCATGAGGAATTCACCCTTGGAGAGTCTGTTTGTGGTATGGAACCAGGATATTTGTATTTTTAACAAGCCCCTTGGATGATTCTGATGCATAACTAGGTTTGAGAACTATCGGCATAGTAAATTAAAAACGAAAACCAATCCATTTAAGATGGAATATGTGGCATATTCTGTATATTACCTTCATTGATGTAAGTTTTATATCTGCCAACTAAACTTACGCTTTTTAAAAAAAGTGAGTCTAATAGCTGAGTATCCATTCACTCCCATCCCCTAACCACACAGTGCCTAGAATACTGACCTGAAACCCAAGCTTTCACTAAAGGCACACTATGAATTTTTTATAACTTTGGCATAGCTGTAAACATATGCAGATTAATTTGCTTTCCATGGAGTTTTACATAAAAGACAAATTATTACTTCCAGAAAATACTCACTTTGTCAAACGAGCCTCCTTCACAGTTTTCTGCCAGATCTGTATCTTCTGTTCTCTTTGACCCAGTGCTTTCTGATACACAGATGGAAGACCCCCAGGTATCTCTGTTGTGTCCCCTTCCATTTCAAAGGGAATAATAAATACATAGAATTCACATGGTGGTAAGAGTCGGAAGATATTTGTGTCACTGTTCTCTCTGCACACAATCATTGGATTATCCCAATAGTTAGGCACTGTAGCAAGGCCAGTCCTGGCCATATGGTCCTCCAGCATTGGGTAATGGGTATGAAAAGGTGCAAAAGTTACTGTGTGGTTCCCAGAAAGAATAAGTGGGCGTGTAGGCGTCAGAATGTGAAAGACACAACCTGCTGTAGAAGAGATGGACAAACGATGGCAAACAGCAATGACTTTAACGCTGTCACAGCTGTGGAGGTGAAGAGCTGTCTGTACAGGGCCCAAGACAAAGGTGCTATTCCTGCACTTTTCAATTGTCACAGATCTGAAAAATGAAAAAAAAAATGAAGTAAACTCCTATGAATGAGAATAAAATAAAAAATATTTCATTATAATATTATTCTCTGATGGCAAAAAAAGGATCGATCCTAGTCCAAAGAAAATGTCAAAATGTCAGAACATTGTGAAAACTGTGCTTACCGTAAGGGAGAGAGCAGATATATAAAAGATTCGTTGCAACGATGAATCTTTATATGTGCCTCCACCAGAGTATCTGAGCTCTTGGCCAATGTCTGCTTATAAACCTGGCTCATCACCACCATGCGGTGCATCCTAGGGGCCACATGAGTATTACAAGCAATCTTAGCTCTTTTGGTCGTCCCTTCAACTATTTAAGAAAAATGTAAATAAATGAGATAGTTTCAAATCAAAGACAAACAATAACCATATGAAGTTATACACATCTACATGTCTACACGTCTAAAATTAGATACATGTGAGGTTTAAAAAAATGTCAGATCTGGGTATTGGGTAAAGAGGTGTTTGCTATACTATTCTCTATACTTTTCTGTATGTTTGCAATATTTCATAATTTTTTGTTAAAAAATTTTTAAGCCTATAATCCATTCAAGATTGCCTACGTCTAAGATATTTTTCAGGTCTACCCCTCAAGTTAAGTAATACGCCTAGGGTAAGTGGCAGAGCTGGGTTAACTCAAATATTTTCTCCTCCAATGATGTTTTAATTTGTCATTTCTACACTTAAATAATCTCCTTAAGTTTTCATAATACTAATTCTGAACCCCTCCTAAGTTTCTTACCACAACATTCCATGAATTCAATTTGGATTCATGTCTTTACTCCCCAGATCATTACTGAAAACACAGCTTCCTCTCATACACAGTGTCTTGCGCAAACTGACACTCAAAAAATCTGTGCAGGTTGCTCTCCTAACATAGCCCTGCCATTATATGATTAGCTTCTCAGATTGTACTTCCCTATAAGCCATCAGGACACCCTAGCAAAGAATACTGGCTAAATGTTAAGAGAACACTTCAGTATGCTATTATTATTCTTTTAAAGCAATCCTTATTGTTTCTTTTTATTAGATAAGTACTACATGGTTATTGTAGAAAAATTTTAAATATTAATAGTAAAACAAGAAAAAATTACTCGTTATCCAACTATCTACCACTGTTAACATTTTAGTATAATCCTGAGAGGTTAGATCTCCTTCTCTTTCCTACTAGCGCCTACCCTAACATCATTTAAAAATTTACTTGAACCTATATTCTTCTATTGACATCAAGAATTATGTATTATCTCCTACATATTTATGGAAGCCTAACATGGCTGAGTCTTTGATCTCATACTGGAACAATAGCTTGGTTGGATAAAGAATTCATAGGTCACTATGTTTTTGTTCAAGATTCTGTAGATGTTGGTCAACCATTTTCTATTTTCTACCATTATATAAATTTGATACAAAACTGATTTTTTATAACATTTTCCTGGAAGCTATTTGTTCTTTATATTTGAAATTCAGCAATCATAGAAGTTTATTCTAGTTTTTTTCTTCCATTAATTTTGCCTGAAGTTTGCCTCAGTTTAGAATCTACTTCTCTTTAAACTTATACTTGGGCCCCAAGAAGTCATATAGCATCTAAACCTATTCTTTTGGCCATCACTGGACTATCAGGAAGATGAATATCTCATGCAACAACCAAGGCCAGATCCCCTCCATGATAAATTTAAATTTCCAATTTAGAAATATCTACTCTGCTTGTGTCTGTGGAGCTAAAAAGGACCTCATCTCTTCACCAACTCTCTGAGGTTGTAACTGTGGAATGCCAAATTCTGCTGTGGGGCATAGGAAACAGAAAAGCCTCAAGCAAATGAGCATATGAGACTAAAGGAAGAAAGAGTAAAAAGAGAAAAGCAGAGTAAAAAGAGGACTAACTGAATTTGGAGTTTCTGTTAAGTGCAACCAAAATGACCGGGACTAATAAATCATCTGAGACTGTTGCTGCACTGCAAGAAAAAGGCATACACAAAAGACAGATATTCCCTTTTTCTCTTTTATAGTAGCATTATTTAATTCTTCTACAGAAGGTGTGTGATCATTAGCATACCTGAAAACACTAGGTTCCTTGTCATTCAATTTAATATAGATTAAAATATGAAATACCTTGGTGAGCCCAAGCTAATTTCTTTCCAGATTTGAGGCAAGCAGATGTACCAAATGGATTCCCAGTCAAACAGGCTCTCAACCAGGCTTCCAGCTTGTAGAAAGAAAAGGTCTTCGAGATCTTTGAGAAGCCACTTTCTGCATGTAGTGGTTGCCACAGTGCAAGTTCATGAAGTGGATATACCTTCTTGGCTCTACTCACTGTACCTTCAATAAGAAAGCTGAGTGCCACAACAGCTTCTCGAGAGACTAGACTACTATGGGTTGAATGAGAGGATACAGTGAGTTGCTCTGGATCTAAAAGCAGCTCAAGGAGATCTGATAGATGATCAGAGACAAAAGTTTGGTGACTGTAATCATTCCAGTTCTAAAAAATATCAAAAGAAATCACACTTAACAAAGTAAAGAGATTCTACAAGACCTAAACCTTTTATATTTTAGTTATTTTGTATTTGTACTTTGCCTTATCCCTCTAAAAGCATTTAAGGTATCAAATAAACCTCATAAAAATTTTTTTGTGTGTGTATGCGATAGGTATAAACAGATTCCTTCTCCACCTTAGCCAATTTAAAAGTAATATTAATATCTAACCCTCTGTGTCTGCCAAGTACTAAGTGTTATACAAAGGTCAACATATTTAATCCTAACGGCAATCTTAAGATAGCCCATTTTACAGATGAGAAAATAGAGATGGAAAGGTTAAAAAAACTTGCCCAAGGTCACACACCTTGTAAATACTCTAAAAGTGTCATATCATAACCATCTTGAACATTTGATGAAGCATTGGGTTTCTTCATTTATCTGCTCAAATTACAGAAAAAATTCAAATTCCACTGGATGAAACAAGGCAACTAATCTTATGGTAACTAGATTTAAGAGAGGTTATCACTTTGGAAATAAGCTTTAAGTGGGCAGATGTCCCAATGACTTAGCTTATTCATTTGACAGATATCTTTTGAATACCTCTTATGTGATATGAGTAGTGTTAAGTGATAAATTATGAAAGTTGAGTAAGACACAGTTCCTGTCTTTAAGGAACTCTATGTAGTGAAAAGACATTATAAACAATAACTATGACACGATGAGATAAAACCTATAGCAAGAGATCTGTAAAGACATTCTATGAGCATGAGAGAAACAATGAACTCCACTTGGGGAAAAAATTGTAGTGGGTGCTATTTAATAGATTCTTGATTGATGTTAGGCAAACAGACAAGAAAAAAAGGCATCTGAGGCATAGGGAACAGTAGAAGCCAAGGCCCACAGGAGTAAAATTACCTGCTGTGTTCAGAGAACTGAAAGTTCAGAGTGAAGCATGCTGGGAAGTGACAGGTTAAAAAAAGTTAAAATGCAGGAACCAATCATGAAAGTTCTTGTAAAAAATATGAAAACACCTGGACTTTATTTTGTGTGCCAGGGACTTCAAACTATTTTCTAAATAGCTATACCTTTTTTTTCTTTTTAATAAACTCATATTTGGATGCCAGAGAACAGAGCTGTCTTATTAGCCTCACCTGTTCATCCCTCTTGCTGTATCCCCTTCCCCCACACTAGGCCCTGAGGTGGCCCGATGGAGTACAATATGAAAACAACAATGACAATGAGAATTCACTGACAGAGTTTCTATAGGAGAGGGATATAATCCATCGGCATTTTAGAAAGTTCAATGTAGTGGGTGGACTGTAGAATAACAGCAGGGTGACCAGGTAGGACTGAATTACAGAAATAAAGGCAACGACAACAACAAAAAATGTCATTAGGCTTATATAAGAAGAAAAGAGACAGATTTTTAAAGACTCTGGAGGCAGACCTATTTGGAGGCAGAATCAGTAAGACTTAACAATTAACTAGGTATGGGTGATAAGAGAGAGCATGGGTGACTGGTGGTGACTTTTACTTGCAGAGGGAATACAAGTTAATACAAGTAAAAGAAGATTTTACTGTAGGGACACACAATCGTCTTCCAAACTGCAGTACAGGTAGGCTTCCTCAGAACTATAACTGGAATGTCATCTTGAACACGGTTCCCAGTGGCCAGTGTCTTTCTGCTGTTCCATTCTCTTCTTTTTCTCTGATTACCCCAGAGTTCCTAATCCCTCATAACTCTGGTTACTCATTAAATTGGTGGCTAATCTGGTCCTAATGCCACAAGAGTTGTTAACTCAAGCACCCATCATTGCCAACTGGTAATTTCTTCAGTCCCTGGGGATACTGAGCGGTCCAGCACATCATTTCAAATAAGACCAATTTCAAACACATACCAATGAATGGACTACTCCAGTGAAGTGTTCATCCCTGGTCTAACCAGTTGTTGGGAGAGGTCATGCCAGAGCACAAATTAGAATCACCATTTACTGGTGTTTACTACGCAACAAATCTCATGAATTCTCACAGCCATTCAGAAATAGAATTATCCTTATTTAGGGAAGGAAAGTCAAGGCCTAGAGAACTTAACTGATTTGCCTAAAACCATGTGGTATCAAGTAGCAGAGCCAGATTTGAATACAGGCTATCTTAGATCAAAATACTATCTCTAGTATGGTACCCATTCAAGAGGAACTAGGTGTGGAAACAGCAGGCAATGACTGGCCTCTCTAATGTATCTGGACTTGGACATTCTGAATTGAAGGTATAGACAGGGCATCTATGTACAGAGGGAAATCCAGAAGGGAGAAAAACTAAGGAGTCGGCAAGATAATAAAGTCATTAGAAGAGAAAAAATTACTCTGAATAAATATGTTGAATGAGAAGAAAAAATTGCCATGGGCAGAATCCTAAGGGAAGAGTGGCTCTTAAGGACCAGGGGGAGAGAGGCTCGTGAAGAAGAGTAAAAAGAAAAAATCAGAAGCAGAACCAGGAGGGAATAGCATTATGAAATATATAAGGTAAACAGATTTCTTTGAAAAAGGAGATTAAAGAGCCTGAACATGGCAATAATACTGAGATCTATATTTTACTTTGTTTTTAAAAATACTTTTACATACGCAAGTAAAAACATATTGGTTTTCTTTACAAAAACAGAAAGAAGAAATAAGATTTTCTAAAAGTCACAATGTGAGGCAGTTAAATTTAACTTCTAGGTTATCACATCATAAATAATTACTTAAGCATGCCGACCTTAAGTATACATAAGCATATTACTTAAATATATAAGAAGATATTTTTACAAAAATTTTTTCAGTATATTTCAACAGACCTTGCAGACACTGCATCTCTCATTTATCCTGTCAAATTCAATTCAAATTCATTAAAATTTGCAAAAAAAAGTAATGCTAATAAGAATATAGTAAATGATTTGCCTGAAAATTATGTAAATGATTTTTGTGTCAGTGAAGAAACTGAAATCACTTCTCTATTTTTATTGATTGCACGCATTGATTTTGTATAATTTGGAAAAGAAAAGTAAAATGCAAAGCAAAATAAAACAAGCCAGCAAATCAGTGGCTTATATAAATAATCTCAACATAAGTTTTAATGAAGGCAAACCATCTCCCTCACAAATTGTCTCTTTCAGAGAAGGACACCAAAATTTAAACAGTACCTTATTATGACAGCTGGATTTTTCAGTTAGGTCAGGAGACTGAGATCTGTTTCTGGGACTAGGCCACTCTTCTCCAATTAAAGATGTCCTCAGAGAGACCTTATTTAACTGCTGTATGTATAAGAAGAGCAGAAACTGTAGGGTGTCCACTGAAAGCTGTTCAAGAAAATAAATGATGAACATATGTCCTAAAACCACATCAATTACTAGTCTACAACTAAATAGATATAGTAAAATAAATTTGCAACAGTTTACTGATCCTAAGAAGACAAACGTAGAAACAATGGTAGCATTCGATATGTACGTCTCTGATACCCACATGTAAAAGTTTCTAAAATTAATTAAACTGGAGTCACTTTCTCAGAAAGCTATGGAGCACCTATGGCCATAGACATTCTCTCCTAAAACTGATGAAGAATAAAGGATGAAGTACACACTTTTTGAAAGTATATTATTTCAGAAGTTTAAAATTACGGTTAAAAAAAAACCAGTAATATGAATAAATAGATAAAAGAAAGGAAGAAGGGAATTCAGTCAAGACACAGAAGTCAGTTAATCTAAGGCTCACACACTGATTTGCCTCACAAGTTTAGGATATCAGTGCAACACCTGAAATCATATGTAATTTTTTGGTGCATGTGCATTTTGTAGGGAGCAGGCCTCAGGTTTTCATCAAATTCTTAAAGAGGTGTTTGACTTAAAAAAAAAAAGCTACTGGTCTGATAGATGTTTATAAGTTGTTTCTTATTTGAAAAAGGTGTGGTTTGAAACTCTGAATTTGAAGCACATGATTATCCTTGTATATCGACAGGAGAGGCAAAAAGTGAAGTAATACATCTGGGACTATACCTATGTTCACCCTGATTCCCAACCTGGCTAAAAATTGCTATAAAGAACTTAAAAAATATGGATTCATAGAATCACCCAGACTTATTCAATCAACTGTCAATGTTGATGTGAAGCCCCATAAATACATATATTTAAAAAAATTTTTTTAATTTCTTAATTAAATTCTTTGAGGTAACTGTAGATTCAAATGCAGTTGTAAGAACTAAAAGAGAAATCCCATGCATGCCTTACCCAGTTTCTCATCTTGCAAAACTATAGTACGATATTACAACCAGGATACTGACAATAATAGTCAAGATACAGAACACTTCTATCAACACAGGATCTCTCATGTTGCCCTTTATCCCCTTCCTTAACCCCTGACAACCACTTATTTGTTATCTATCTCTATATTTTGTTGTTTCAAGAATATTATAAAAACAGAATCATACAGTATGTAAACTTTTGGAATTGGCTTTTTAAACTCCACATAATTTCCTAATTTTACACATATTTCCATTTAACAACTATTTGTTATATTATCATTATTCATATTCCTGCCTCCCTCGAGACTATAAGATCCTGGTCTTTTTCGTTTTCATATTCGAAAAGTAAGAAGAATAGAATCTGGTACATAGTAAGCACTCAAAAAATTTGGAGCTTCTTGAGATTTTATTCATCTCTGTATCCACAGTATTATCTAATTTACCTAGCACGTAGTAGGCATTCAATAAATGTTTCATTTATGAATAACTGTAATGCCTTTCCCCCTCTTGGTTGTTTGCTAAACTTTTTCAATTCCCAAAACCTTGGTTAGATATTACCTCACATAGCAGAGACTGGCTAGATGTTAAGTGCTTTTTCTTCCCTTCCAGGGCACACAATTAGATGGCATTTCCCAGCCTCTCTTCAAGTTAGATATGGTATAACTGGGCTATAGTTAACAGAATGTGGGTGGATTTTCATATACCACTTTCAAGCCTCAAAAAAACTCTTCCAAATAAATGGAAGTGAAGAACTCTGAGGCCCTAATGGGCATGGCTGTGGCAAATAGTATTATACTTGCAACAGTTCACTTCCCTATCCTCCAAGAGGCTTACACAGATGATGAAATTTTCCTTACTGCCTGTGAGGTAGTTTACCTTCTCTTCTCATTGATTTTAGGCATGACAAATCTTTAGCTAATGGAATGAAAGTAGTAATAGCTTGTTACATCTGATCGAGTTTTAAGAGGCATCATGAGTTTCCTATTGCTATGCTGCTTTTCCCTTCTGTCACAAGAATAGATGACCTACACAGAAGCTATTTCCTCAGCCTGGGTCTTCAAATAAGAACACAAAGCCAAGTGACAACCTGGAAGAAAGCCATAGCTAAGGTGCAGCCCACATGTAAAATAAGTAAGAAATAAACCTTTATTACTGTAAGCCACTGAAATTTCATTTTTGTTTGTTTTTAACTGCATCAAAGCTGACTAATATAATAGTGGCTCCAAAAGATAGAAGCCTCTAGATTCATTCTTGAGTCATTGCTTGGACAACGGCAGCCTAGAGATGCCCTGTGTTGCACTGCTGCATGAATGAGAAATAAACTGTTATTGTGCTAAGCCACTGAAATGCTGGATTGCTTGTCACTATAACTAATCCTATTCTGATTAATATGGTTTCTCTGTGAAGTCCTTCCTGATCACAAGAATTAATCACTCTCTTTTCTATTCTATTTCTGTATGTTATGCATACTTTTTATTACTGTACATACCAAGCTATTGAATAGCACTTTTTTACACACCAGCATCCCCTACTAGTCTATTTAAAAATTAGAAATCTCAGCTTCATGAAGGCAGAGAGGCTGTTCTTTGAACCCCAGCACATAACAGATGCTCACTTAAAAAGAGTAAGGTGCTCTGACTATAACACATCAGTGGTTCATAAGTACTCACTGACCTCGAAACACTTTTAAAGTCAATGAAAATATTTCCCTCTTTCAATTACAGGGTTCCTATAACATTCCTTTAGAAACAGGTGAATAAGGATTGCTAAGTAAGGACTAATTCATTAAATCCATTAAATACTGCCAAACTGGAACTCCTAAAAGTCAAATGGTTCTTTGGGATCACAATTGTAGTTAACCTAAAAATGCATACTGTACAGCTAGTGTATACATTAAAAATTTTTAAATAAAAATTTTAACTTAGAAAATTTAAAAATTAAAAATTTTATTTCCCTAAGTTACTAAACACACGCACACATATATATAGATCCATACCTGATTTCTCTGCTTTTCGACTTCATCCTCAGATGTGCAGTTTGATAGAATCTCAGACCATTCTAGGCGCTCCTCTGGTGTCTTCGCTGCAAGACTATCAAATATTTCAAAGTAAAGCCATGCCAGATCCTTAGCCAACTGCAGCTTCCCACATGCAATGTGCCTCCATGTAGACCAGTATAGGCGTGGGTAAGCTCCTTCCCGGGTTCGCACATAGGTGGATATCTTCCTGAGGTAGTGAAGACTGAACTTGGATGGAGGAGGGGCCTGCAAAGCACCCACTATAAAGGGTTCTGCTTTCACCCAGAGGAGAACTCCGGACTGATCCATATTATCTCAAAGGACATCTGTGTAAAAAGGCTTCTTTGCATACCTAGGAAACAAAGTTTCTTCAAAAATTGAGTTGAAACAAAACTCACTTATATATTTTCTTATAAAGTGACCCCTCCCTTAACCGTTTTTTAAAGGCACTATTATCAGTTTAAAAGGCAAATCTAGCTCACCAACCAAGAGCAGAATAGATTTTTCGTCAGTTCTTATTACAATCTTTTTGAGCAAGAAAAATTTTGTAATAAAACAGAATTATCTTACTTGAATTGTTCAAAACTGTTATTTTAAAAAGAGTGAATACATGCATGAGGTATGAGTTGGAAAAGAAATAGGTGGTTACCCTACCACAGGAAATCTTGCTCTACCCTGAGGAGGAAAACTAGTCAAAATTAAGGCAATAAACTTCAGAGTCAAATCATTTACACATAGAGGATGGCTGGTTAAAGAGTTGGACATGTGAGCTGACCATATAAGCTCAATATGAAGCACTAACACAAGATGGCAAACAAGAATGCTCATGTAAATGTAGGCTGCAGAAACAGATGAAGGAAAGTGAAAGCTAGTCTCTGTACCAGGTATAATGTATTATGTTCAGGTGTAATATTTTCAGATTTTGGTGTTCGTTATAACAATACATGATTTTTATGGAATATTTATAAAACATATAAAAATAGAAAAGGAGGAATCATCCCCAGTCCCACCACCAAACAGAAACTAGTTAATATTTTATTGTACTCCTTTTCTTTTTTCTGTACGAAGATGTTAGTTTTTGAATTTTCATAATTGTGATACCATACGTAGAATTCTGTATTTTAAAAGCTTCATAGCACTCTAAATAAATGTACCCTAGCTTATTAAATTGTTCTATTTTTAGACCTTTAATAGATTTAAAATTTTTTACAAGATAGGCAAAATATTGATCATTGTTAAAGATGAAGAGCACATGGGGGTCACTGACCTATTCTACTTTTGTGTTAAAAATCTCCATTAATAAAAGTTTAAATATTTTCACTATTATAAATGCTATACCACCCTTTTGCCTATTTTCTGCATTATTTACCAGAGAAAAATTTCAGATGTGCATTTGTGAAACTGTGTAACTGACATTTCTGAATATATTTCCATTGCTTTCTAAAATGACTGTATCAAACTACCATCATTTAACCAAGGTACTCTCTTAACACTTCTCGGCACTAAGTAACATCGCTTAAATAACCTTCCTTACATGACTGATGAAAATTGTTTTATTGCTATTATTTTATTTTGTATTTGATTCTAAGGAAATTGTGCTTCTTTGGGGATGGATATACCTGTTCAAAAAATAACTGACAATGAGTGCTTACTATGTGCCAGGTAGCATGCTAAATATTTTGTATATATACTTCACCTCTTTCATCCTCACAACCACCTGGAGATACGTATGATTATTCCATTTTCAGATTAGAAAACGGAGGCTTAAAGAAGAGACTAATCCAAAATCACATACTTAAATTGGCACAGCTCTGGATTAGAACTCAAGTCTACCTGACTTGAGAACAATGTTGTTTACAAATGTAATTTAGGAACCTAGTTTTTGGAAAATCTCCGAAAAATGGGAGTGGATCCAGAAGAGAATTACCAGAACGAATGGCTTTGGACGTGAGGCCATGTAAGGCCATTTTCCAAGTGAAGGAACATGGCAGCATGAACCCAAAGGAAGGGGGGAAATGGCAGCTGTCTTCGAATACAGGAATGGTTTAGCATCGTTGTGAGGAAAACCAGACGATGGAAGTTATGTGAAGAAGATCTTAATTCACTCCAAAATGGAGACAGGCTGTTCTGTGAGGTACCAAGCTCCTGTGCCTGAAGCGTGCAATCAAATGCCAGATCCTGGAGCTGAATCCTCTAACTCCGAGACTCGAGAGGGCTAAATTCGTAAAACAAACATAAACTGGGGCTCTTTCCCAGTTCAAAAAAACTCCCCCGGTGCGCTGAGGTTAGGGTTTTTCAGGCGGGGAGATCGGCGTGAGGCCCAAGGCGGTCCTCCAGAGTCTTCGCCGCCACCTCCGACGCTGTCCCGGGTAGGACGCCGCGTGGGCCGCTCCAGCGCTCCGACACGATTTCGCGAACAGAGAAGCCCCAGCGGACAGGGTCCGTAGCGGACCCGAAACCTGGCGAGAGCAAAGTCAGCCTCTCCAGCCCGAGCATGAAGTGTAACCCACCGATCCTTCCCTCCCTGGCGCCGGCTCTCAAGCGGTTACCTGCGAAGGCAGGCGCCACTCCGCTGGAACCTCTCCGCGCGCCGAAGCGCCCTCCGCCCGCAGCCGCACCCACCACGCAAGCGCGAGTCCTCGCACCACCGAGAACCGGAGGACCACGTTGCTAGAGCGACCAATTGCTTACCCAGCGGCCCGAGAAAAATTGGGCAAAGGTCTTAGGAGCCCTAAATGGCGCGACTTGGAGCCAGACCCGTCCGCTTTATGGGATCGCGCCTTTCAACTCAGAGGAGTAGGACGTCTACTGTTCCACATAACTGTGGTTAGACAATAGCTGCTGGAAAGGTCAGCACGCTTTGATCAGTAATAATAATGATAACAACAGTTTACATTTGAAAGTGCTTATTCTTGGTTGGGCACTGTGTAAAGCACCTTTATGGTATTATCTCAGTCTTCCCAGGAGCCCTTAATGTTAAGTGCATTTGTTTTATTGATGAAGAAACTAGGGCGTAGATAGGTTACAGTAACACAGCCCTAAGGTCACATGCGAGTCAAGAAACAAACCCAGGCCTTCTGAAGCCGGAGACCCCAGAGTTAGCTCCGTAACTCTTAGCTTTCCCACCATATTACCATCTTCATGAAGCTTTTTAAAATCCTACCCAGCAGCAGACATCGCTCTTTCCTTTAAACTTCCATTTCATGATTTTTAGCCATTTCCTGCTTTCCTAGTTTATTTATAGTCTCTAGTTGTGGGAGATATAAAGGTAAATAAGACCATAAAATGCAATTTAGTTCCTCTTGTACATGGCTTCTCTCTCCTAGTAGGTATCTTCCTGAAAGCAGTAACCTTATCTTTTTCTTAATTCTACATGAGTCAAATGGTAAAGAGTAGGGGCCTTAGATTAAAAAAGTTCTGGGTTAGAATACACGCTGCACCACTAAGTAGCTCAGACCTTTAGCGGATTCTATGCCTATGTTTTCTGTGACAGCGATTATTTATTGAGCACCACCCTGTGTCTGAAACAGTGGTACGCACTAGGATTACAGTAGTTAATGAAATAGATAAGGTTCTTGCTTTCTTGGAGTGCATATTTTAATAGGGAAATACATAATACATATTAAGGAAATAAAATAGGATATCAGATAGTAATTATTAAGGCGAGGAAGTCAGTGCTGAATTTGAGCTGAGACTTGAAGAATAAGAAGCCATCATAGGAAGATCACAGTTGAAGCAACTGTTACTCCGTGGCAGGCACTGCTCTAAGGTACTCTTCTATAAAACTGAACAAGGCAATCCAGCTTCATGTGCTCAGAAAACTAGCATTCCAGTGTATGAGTGTGGGAGGCAGGGATGGAAACAATGAAATAAAACAAGGTGTAAGAATA